TATTGACAATCAGTGTTGTTCATTTCTTGGATCCTTCCAGAGATATTTTATGTATGTATGATGAAAAGTCACATATTTTGAAAGAAACATTCTTATTAAGGTTTAATTCATATAATTTCTTACTGAAATAGAATTTTGGTGTTGTTATTATTGATTTTCTCTTGCGTTGACCATAGCGTTGAAGGATTTACTAAAAATTCAAACACTTTTACACTGAGGAAATTGGGCCCTTTGAATATGTCACAGTGGTCTATCACTGATTTTCTTTCCTAAGCATAAAGTAAGCTCTCTGACCCTTATTGCTTTCCTTGGACTGTATTCTGCCAGCCAGATGAACTTTTGGGGGTCATTTTCCTAGAATAATTGAGCTAATGGGAACCTTAGCACCCTCTGGTTCTTACTCCTGGAATTTATTTTCTTAAAATGAGATTTGATACGGACTTCCCTTAAAAGTAAGAAAAAATTTTGAAGGATCACTTTGTTATCTATATTAAATCTTATGAAATATAAATGTGGACCAAGTCCTCTTTCATAAGATTTTTTTTTATTTAAGCAGTTATGTTGTGTGTCCTTCTGGCATTTCTATATACCCAAGTATATGTATATTCTGTGTACGTGGGATCTATGTCTTTTTTTATAGAATGGATTTTTTATCACATAATGCTTTACTGCAACTTTTTCCTTTTAATATTTTTTTGTCAGTACCTATGGATTTCTCATTTCTTTTCACAGTTACTTATTTCTTAGTTATTTATTCATAAACATCTGGGTTATTAGGTTTAAGTATTACAAATGGTGTTACACTAAAATATTGTTAAGCACATTTACATATCTTTTCTACTTTTGTGAATATATCTATAGACATAAATTTCTAGAAGTGATATTCTAGTTATCAAAGGGCCCACATCTAAAATTTTGATCGCTGCTGCCAAATTGGTCAAAAGTGCTAAATCAGTCTATACTTCCATTAACAATTGAGACTTCCTGATTTCCCTCATTCTCATTAACATGAATTAGATCTTTTGTTCTTTTTTCCTTGATGGTTTAATTTTCTAAGCTTTGATCTTAGTTACCATGTTGGGTTTTTTTTCTTTTTTTTTCTTTTTCTTTTTTTCCATGTTTGTTTTAACTAAAAAGTCTCCCTGTGTTCCAAGTAGCCCTAGGAATTGCTTATTATTTGCTCCCAAAGCTTTGTTGAACTATATAAAACACAGGTATAAAGTTACTTTCTGGAAGAATACTTAGACTTCATTTCCAAATGCAAATTTTGAAATATTTTGTTAAATTTTTAAAAATCTTTATTGTTCAGATTATACAGATGTGTCTCTTTTTCCCCCCCATAGCTCCACTCCACCCGGTTCCCACCCCACCCCAGGCCCTCGCCACCCCACTGTCCACGTCCATAGGTACTGCATACATGCATATAAGATCTTTGTCCAATCTCTTCCCGCACCTCCCCTCACCTTCCCCTGAGAATTGTGTCTGCTCCATTTCCATGCCCCTGATTCTATTACACTCACCAGTTTATTCTGTTCATCAGATTTTTTATTCATTTGATTTTTAGATTCACTTGTTAATAGATCTGTATTTGTTGTCACTTTGTTGTTCATAATTTTTTATCTTTACCTTTTTCTTCTTCCTCTTCTTAAACAATACCCTTCAGCATTTCATATAATACTGGTTTGGTGGTGATGAACTCCTTTAGCTTTTTCTTGTCTGTGAAGCTCTTTCTCTAAATGATAGAGCTTCAATTCTAAATGATAGCTTTGCTGGGTAAAGTAATCTTGGTTGTAGGTTCTTGCTATTCATCATTTTGAATATTTCCTACCACTCCCTTCTGGCCTGCATAGTTTCTGTTGAGAAATCAGCTGACAGTCATATGGATACTCCCTTGTAGGTAACTAACTGTTTTTCTCTTGCTGCTTTTAAGATTCTCTTTGTCTTTTGCCCTTGGCATTTTAATTATGATGTGTCTTGGTGTGGTCCTCTTTGGATTCCTCTTGTTTGGGGTTCTCTTTGCTTCCTGGACTTGTAGGTCTGTTTCTTTCACCAGGTAGGGGAAGTTTTCTGTCACTATTTCTTCAAATAGGTTTTTAATATCTTGCTGTCTCTCTTCTTCTGGCACCCCATAATTCAGATATTGGTACGCTTGAAGTTGTCTCAGAGGCTTCTTACACTATCTTCATATTTTTGGATTATTTTTTCTTTTTGCTCTTCCGGTTGTTTCCTTGTATTTCAAGTATTTGACTTGATTCTTGGGATGCTCTAGTCTAATGTTGAATCTCTGTATATTATTCTTTATTTCAGTCAGTGTATGCTTAATTTCTGACTGGTCCTTTTCCATTTTTTTGGCATTCTCACTAAGATCCTTGAAGTTCTCACTAAGTTCCTGAGAGGTTTCTAGAAGATTCTTGAGTAACCTTATAACTGTGGTTTTGAACTCTATATCCAGTATTTTGCTTTCTTCCTTTTCTTTCATTTGTGACATGTTTCTTTGTCTCTACATTTTGGCTGCTTCCCTGTGTTTGTTTCTATGTATTGGGTAGCTCCTAAGTCTCCTTGAGTTGATAGAGTGGCCTTGTATAGTAGGTGTGCTATCGGGCCCAGTGGCTCAGCTTCCCCAATTACCTGAGCTGGACACTCTTGGTGCACCCCTTTGTGGGCTGTGTGCACAGACTTGTTATAGTTGAGCCTTGATTGCTGTTGATATCGCTGGGAGGAATTGACCTCCAGGCCAATTGGTTCTGTCCATAATGGAAGAGCTGCTGTGCAGGAGACACCCTTATGGGGCAGGACTTGCTTCAGTGGGGCTTTGGTGCTTACTAGTCTGCTCCTTGAGTGTGTCACTTATGGATGTGAAGAGTTGTAATCTTGTATGGTCTTGCACTGACCATTGGATACACTGGCTCTTGGATCTCCAAGGAGGTGCAAAATCAGCCACTGCCTGGGGCCACCCAGCAGGAGCTAAGGAGAAATCTGCAGATTCCTCCTCTTTATTGGGTTTGGAAGTGCCCAGACGAGGCCCAGCTGAGAAGCAAGGCAGGCTGGTGCTGGTTTGGTCTTGGGCCTTCTTTTGATAGCTTTGGGGCTCCCTGACCCAGCTGCAGCTTGTTTGACAGGTTTTAGGCTGAGAAAGGACAGGCCATTCATATGCAAAAGCTGCTTCCACACAGCTTGGGTGGGGTTGTAAATTGGGTAGGGTGGGGTCTTAGAATCTGTAGGGCAGAGCAAACAGCAATGCTGCCAGTCGGCCCTACACCTGGGAGGTCCCAACACAGGAACAATGACTGTTGCGAGCACCTCCATCTGGAAGAAAACTGCCCCCGCATTCCTGCCCCAATGCCAGACCAGTTTCTCCCCGTATGTGTCTGGGTCCTCCCACCTCCTCCCCCCCACCCCTGAGTCTTGCCCGGCCCTGGAGCTCAGAGCAAGCAGGAGCTTGTATCTCCCTCCCAATTAAAAAAGCGGCACAACCGGGTGCCAGCCCGTGCCACGCTTCCGCACCTCCTACCAGTCTCAATGCGCTTTCTTCTTTACCTCTCTAGTTGTAGTACTTCCACTCAGCCAGCTTTCCTGTGGTTCTGGATGATAGTTGTTATGTATTTTAGTTGTAATTTTGATGTGGTTGTGGGAGGCAGCAAGTACAGGTGTTTACCTATGCTGTCATCTTGGTTCTCACCTGTTAATTTTTTTAAAGAACATATTTATTTTTAAAAAGTCAAATATTTAGACAGTATCTATTGACTTCATTCTGAAAGAGGAATGAAATGTATCTTGCACCATAAGGTTTTCAGGAGTTATATTTTATTATTACTTTAGTTGTATAACATTTACATTCTGTTTTATGACCCTGTTTCTCCCAGTTGTTTAGGTTGATTCAGTGTTAATTTTACTAGTCTTTCATATGATATAGTTTCTTAATCCCTGAGTGCCTGAACTTGATTTCAGAGAGGAAGGGAGAGGGAGAGAGAGATAAAAACATCAATGATGAAAGAGAATCATTGATCAGCTGCCTCCTGCATGCCTCCCACTGGGGATCAAATCCTGGGGCATGTGCCCTGACCAGGAATCGAACTGTGACCTCCTGGTTCATAGGTCCATGCTCAACGGTTGAACCACACTGGCCGTGCCCAACTCACTTTTAAATCTCCTCTTGCTGTTATATCACTTTGTTCAGCTATTTAAAGAATTTATGTGCTTTAATTTTTTTTGAAAGTGTAGGGAAATATTTCACTTTTATTGTTTCTATTTTTGTAGGAACTTCTTAAGTTCTAGGTTGGATACTTTGTGATTATTCATATTTGAATGGGGCTTGCCATTTGTTGAAAATCATATAGGGGTGGGGCAGGGAGAGGAAGCGAGCCTTAACAAATGTAGTTGTTTCACAATTCTCTCACCAAATCTCTACTATAGGAGCATGCATCCCCTTAAGGTAAGCACATCTCCCAGGTAGGAGGTAGGAGTGACTTAGAAAAAAAGCCTTCTCTAGGCTCCATTTCTTTTATTTGGAGACTAGTTAACTCTGGTTAGTGACTGCAAAGCTTATTACTGTTTCCTCAATTATATTCTTGTCTCACCTTCAAGTACTTTCTCTCTGTTAGGAGTCTATATCAGAGAAAATACAGATATTCTCCCTCTCAAGTTTTAGTTGAAAAGTATGAGCACTACGTGCATTTAAAAATAACTATGTAGTTATCTTATAATGTTTTCCTTACTTTTTCCCTCAACTTGTGATATCCCCAAATCATTTAATTATTTTCTTTAGTTAGATGTTAAAAGATACTGTTCTTGATTCTGTGGCTTTAGTTGTTGGGAGACAAAGGCATGAAAAATCTCTGCTCCTGGATTATGTTCTCTACTGATGAGAATCTTTCTCGTTAAAGAGCCTGAGTTTAATAAAGCCCAGCATCTGAAGTACCAGTCAGTCACAAGGTCTTCATGGCCAAATGTGATTTTCATTTTGGAATAAGATCCGTGAGTTGTTCTTTTTCCTTTCACAGGACAAGCAGGAGGACACGAAGACTATTTTGGAGGGCATAGATCCGGCCAAGCATCAGGTGAGGGTGGCCTTTGATGCTTGTAAGCTACTACATAAAGAATAGATGTTGTAGGTAACCAGAACTCTGGATATCTGAATTCCAACCAAGAAGTTCCAGGACCCTGGTGGGTGACAAAGGAAATCCTCTTCAATTGAAACAGATTATAAAGTTTAAATAAAAAAAAAGATTTACATTACTAGTAATTTGCTTCCTTAGTGTTCTTTTTATATGGTATTCCTAACAAATCTCATAGGTGGAAATAGATTTTCTTATTCAGAGAGTTAGTTCTTTTGTATTCTCCCTATTGGGAGAGTTAAGATACCCCAGAGGAAAAGTCTCAATTATAAAGTCCTGCATTCAATTTTGTTCATCAGAAATCTGAAACTTAGATTTAGAGTACTATATTTGATTTTAAAAATATAACCCTCAGCCTGTCCAGTGTGGCTTGGTGGTTGAGCGTCAACCTATGAATCGAGGTCACAGTTCAATTCGCAGTCCGGCACATGCTTGGGTTGTGGGCTCGATCCCCCCTGGGGGTGTACAGAAGGCAGCCAGTCAATGATTCTCTCTCATCACTGATGTTTCTATCTCTCGCTCCCTTTTCCTTCCTCTCTGAAATCAATAAAAATATATTTAAATATATGTATAATCCTCAGATAAACAAAAAATTAGTTATAACATTTACTATATTATTCATTCCCTAATTTATATACATTAAAATTTTTCTTCTTAAAATTGTCTCCTGTTACCTCATTCTGAAATTAATTTTTAAAAAGGTGAACACTTATTTATAAGCAAACGTTCCTTTTCTTTTGAAAAAAAAAAATGTGGAATTTGTGCCTAATAGTTTTAAAAATCAAGCAAAGTTAACATCCGTTGTAATCCAGAGGGATTTGTGTAAACTCAGGAGCAGTGCTTAATTTATAAATTATGAATAAATTATGATTGAGCACAATTAACTTAGGCTATCTAAAATAAAATTTTCAGTATCAAGCCACTCTTAATTATAATGCTTATTAATATCTTCATTAATGGCTTGTTGAATAAGAAGTTGTTATATTCTAATTTGAACAAAGTAAATTAATGTATTTCACAAAATATTATATGAAAATGTGAACTTTTACTCAGTTTGTGTAGTATCTCAGGCTCCTATCTAGAATGTAAAGCTGAGTATTATTTTAGAAAAAGTATTTCTTTTTCCCTGGATTTGTTAAAGGAAATGTAGTTATAAATCTCTCTCTCTAGCTATAAGTCTCAAAACTTGGGATACTTTTTAAAAATGAGGTTTGCAACCCCACATTTAGAGGCTCAGATTCAGCATATTTGAAATGGGAGTTTGCATTTTAATTAATATTCCAGGAGATTCTGATGACAAGTCCTCCATACTCCACACTTTGAGACATTGCTGGAGTCTGTACAGATTATTCTGCATCATTGTAGAGTTCTGTTCTCTTTCCATCTTTGCTTTATAATCAGTCATTCTTCCTTCATTCAAACTGAAGAAGCTTGGTTTTTCTTTGTTACTTGTGATTTTTAGAAACGATGCTAAACAGAAAACCCTAAAACAGTGCCTCTTAATCTCTTCCTTCTCAATTCTCCCGAGGGTTATAAATCTCATCCTTAACAGTAGATCACTAAGGTAATGATGAATATACAGTGGTGGGTGGGAAGAACATATCCTGCAGGGGAGAGTAGCAGAATCCTCTAGTATATATGTAGTATAAAACAGTCTACCTGCCTTTCCTGCGATTCTGATTCTTCCTCCCTAGACAAAGTTCTCCTCCACCTCCAAGAAAACTCTACCTCTGTGATATAGTTAAAATATATATATGCATGCCTTGGGTGCCCATGACTATGATTTTAAAGGAAATCAACTTATTTTGAAGAAAATAAACTTAATGTATAATTGAATTTTATAATCTAAAACCAAATGTCACCCCAATAAACTTAATAAAAACAAATAAAACCAAATAGATAAAAAAAAACTGTACCTTTTTTCTCATAGTGTTTATCAGAACTAGAACTTTGTAGTGTATTTTACATGGATAAGCTTTTAGGGGGCATATGAGCTCTAATTATCCACTTATCACTATATTTACATTGTTAGTGATTAGCTAACCTTAATAAACTTTAAATATGACCTCCCACTTTTTTTTATTACAATGAAGCATATTTATTTCCAGCTAAGAGCTTCCGAAATATGTAACAGTGAAGCACTAGAACACCACCCAGGGCTGGGACTCAGCATGACCTACCACGTTTTAAATGTTAATTAAGGAATAACATATATACATCTTGTTTAATTTTGCTACTCAAAACTGGAAAACTTACCAGTTTTTTCTTAATCTAAAACTATCTGTAAAATACACAAAATTTCTAATGTTTTCTTTTTAAGGCCAAGTTGTTTTTTTCTAAGTTATTGTATGTTGAATGCATCTTTTCAGCTATCTCAAAGTTGCTTAAACATAAGTATAAATGACTTCCAGTCATGAAGTCAAATTCACTTAGCTTTTTGAAACCTCTCTGTTCTCTATCATTTCAAGCACAGACATATTAAATAAAATATGGGAGAAAAACAAACTAAATTAAAAAAATATGTTGCTAGCCGAAACCGGTTTGGCTCAGTGGATAGAGCATCGGCTTGCGGACTGAAGGGTCCCAGGTTCGATTCCGGTCAAGGGCATGTACCTGGGTTGCGGGCACATCCCCAGTAGGGAGTGTGCAGGAGGCAGCTGATCGATGTTTCTCTCTCATCAATGTTTCTAACTCTCTATCTCTCTCCCTTCCTCTCTGTAAAAAATCAATAAAATATATTTAAAAAAAAATAAAAAATATGTTGCTATACCCAGCAACAAAAATTAAAGAACTCTCTGGACTAGAAATGGATTATGGATCTACAGTTGAAGCCATAGGCCCAAGAAGAATGTAGGCTTAAAAACATGGGCAATGGGACTGGAGTTTTAACTTCTATTGTGACATAGGGACCCAACGCATCTCACATGGAGCAGGCCAATAGATCTAGTCTATGTGAATGAAGCAATGAACTGGGTGGGACCTTATTGTCTTACCTACCTGTGAACCAAGATGGGAAAAAAAGCTCCAAGCAGCTTCCCACAGTTGTAGTTGGAAATTAGTTCTTGTTAGAGGGGAGAAGCAAAGAGAGCAGTAACTAAAACCTGGAGAGCACCATTCTTTGATTTAGTGAGCAGAACTAAATAATTCTGTGGGGCCAGAAACTTAAGTTCCAATAAAAGATCTGAAATGGACTTAAAGGGCCAGACTGAAGCAACTGCCAAAACTATCTGATTAGAAGGGATAAGTTTGTGGATGGAAATAAAAGAAAAAAAACAACTCTCATGCAAAACAAGCTTCTTCAAATAAAAAAATTATAAAGCTCAAGTGCAAAATTATGTCCAGAGGTAGTCAAAATGTAAGTACATAAACAAAAAGCAGCAAAATAGGAGACTTTATGCCCAAGGAAACTGAAATAAAAGACTTTAATCTTGAAAATTTTTTAACATGTTTCTTTTAAACGATGTCCAATAATTGTAAAACAGTGTGAGGCAATAAAATGATAATTAATAATTAAAAACAGGTGGGTATCAAATAAACAATTTAGCCGAAACCGGTTTGGCTCAGTGGATAGAGCGTTGGCCTGCGGACTGAAGGGTCCCAGGTTCGATTCCGGTCGGGGGCGTGTGCCTTGGTTGCGGGCACATCCCCAGTGGGGAGTGTGCAGGAGGCAGCTGATCGATGTTTCTCTCTCATCGATGTTTCTAGCTCTCTATCTCTCTCCTTTCCTCTCTGTAAAAACTCAATAAAATATATTTAAAAAATAAAAAATAAAAAAAAATAAACAATTTAGACTTTGAGGGGGAAATTGGGAAATAAAAACGATATGTAGAATAAACAGTATATTGAATACAGTTGAATAAAGAATTAGTGAATCAGATGATAAAACAAATAATACAATATAGCACAAATATGAAGAGAAATTGAGAGTAAAAAGATAGATTGGGGAGTTCCAACATACATCTATTTGAAGTTCCTGGAGGAGAGGTTAGAAATAGAAAGCGGAAACAATGTTTGAAGAAATAATGATGTAGAATTTTCTAGAATTTAAGCCAAATATTAATCCTTTATTAAAAAATTAATCACTGAACAGAACAAATGAAACTAGAATTTTAAGGATAAAGAAAAAAATCTTAAGCCCTACCTGGTTTGGCTCAGTGGATAGAGCATCTGCCTGTGAACTGAAAGGTCCCAGGTTCGATTCTGGTCAAGGGCACATGCCCAAGTTGTGGGCTCGATCCCCAGTGGGGGACTTGCAGGAGGCAGCTGATCCATGATTCTCTCTCATCATGGATGTTTCTGTCTCTCCCTCTTCCTTCCTCTCTGAAATCAATAAAAATATATTTTCAAAAAATCTTAAAAGCTACTGGAGGAAAAATGCATTACTTATAAAAGAACAATAATCAACATTTTGACAGCAGATTCTCATCAATAATATTACACCCTGCCACCCACCCTGAGCCCAGGGCTTGCTAGAACCAGCCCCATCCTGCTGAGGTTCCCAAGTTAGCTGCAGGGTGGATATGCTGCAGCTCAGTAGATTGTGGCTCAGAATCTCAAACAGCCTCCACCTTCAGTGTCGCCCAGAAGTGAAGTGTGGCAGACTATGCCAACGCTGAGCCTTAATAAAGCCATTTTTGCTGTCTAATAACCACAGAAGATAATCTGGTTAATATTCTCAAAATATCAAGAGAAAATAGCAAAATATAGAATTTTGTACTTAACTACCATTCCAGAGGAGGAAAAATAAGCATATTTTCAGGTCTACAAAGAATAAAAGAGCTTAACACCTAAGACCGTTGCTAAAAGAACTACTAAAAGATGTGTACATCAATAAGGAGGAAAATGAACTCTGGAGGAAGGCCTGGGATACAAGAAGCTACGGTAAGCAAATAAATTGGTAAAACTATTATAAAAATTTTAGTATAAACGCTACATTTTTTTAT